CTTGAGTCTGAGTGCTTTCAAACATAGACATCAACGGTTTCGTTAAATCCTTAAAACAAATGCAAAACTTTGTTACATGCGTGCAAGTGTCCGGTGCCGCCTGGCTGACTGTTTCGCTGGGGGCCCTTTCCCATCGCGGGGATGGGTCCTCCTGGGCGCCCTCGAGGCTGCTGGCCGGCCATGGCTTGGACCGGCTTGACTTGGCAGCTCCTTGGCTGCCTGACTAAGTAACTCCTAAAGCTGCTTCTTGAGCTTGGGAGCTGCAGCGGCCGAAGATCGATCTCGCTTGGGAGCATTTGCCGCCGAAAAGGGCTGTCCAGCCCTTGAAACTTTACTTGCAGGCTCATGCAGCTGGAGGGTCGATGTGTTTTTTACTCATGCATACTGGCTTATGCAGTCGAGGCCACCGGGCTTCCAGCCCTGGCTTGGAACACTAAAAGACTTGAAACTAGGACTCCAAAAACTTAGCCTTCTCCTTGAAGGCCTCTGCCAAAGAGCCGCCCTCGGCGAGCTTCTTCTTCATCTTGGCAACCTGAAGCTTGGTCTTATCCCGACCATGCTTCCTGCACACGATCTGGAAAAGCTGCCTAGAACCGTCGACTCTCAATGCGACACTGTCGTGGTAGTGCATGATCTGCAGCTTGCCCCTTTCAGCCTCCGTCAACTCGGGCTTGTCCTTGTCCTTGGGGGCCTGATGATGGAGCTTAAACATTCAGGGCTTCACTTAAATACATCTTCCTAGATAGAAATATATGCTTACGAACAACAAAAATTTTTTTCTAATGTTAAGATTAGAGGCCGGCTTCTTCTTCGGCTTGTCACTGTCCTTTTTCACAGGCTTAGCGGCTGCAGCTGGATTCTTCAAAACCTCGCCCTCCCAAGACTTCCTGATTCGAGCCTTGCTGCCTGGCACGGGACTGCCTTCGGCTTCCTGGCTCAAACTCGTCTTGGCGGTCTTGGGAGTGTCTGGAAGCTCCAGATCCCTGGTCCGAATCTTTCGAAGCGGACTGCTCGCAGGGGCTAACGACCGTAGCTTTGGCGGCTTGGTCGCAGGGCTTGGCGTCCCTGTGCTCGGCCGCTTGGTGTTGTGGGTCTCCGCCTGCTGGAGCTTGGCTGGTGAGGCCGACACTTCTGGAAGAAGCAGCGCCCTGAGTTCCTCGAGATCCTTGATCTCGAACTGGGTCGCCTTGCTGCAAGCCTCCTTGAACCTGGTGTCGTTGCACAAGCGGCGAGCATGAGCCATGACGGTCAGCAGCATCTCGGCCGTGTCCCCAGCCCAAGCAGTTTGCTTGCTCAGCGGGGCCTGGTGGATGAGGTCCGGGTAGTCTTTGCTGACCTTGGCCAAGCACTCCTTCAAGTCCTTGTACTTGAAAGCCAAGCCGCTCTCCACCTCCTGGAGTTTCTTGAGCAAAACCGTCGCCTTTGAAAGCCCTTTGGCCTGGACAGCACTCGTCTTGGCTAGGTTGCCGTAGGGGTCGAAGTTGAAGGCGGCCTGGACACCTAGGAGCTTGACGTGTTTCTTGAACACGTCCAGCAAGTGCTCCTGGTCCACCTCCGGCTTGGCGAAGTTGCGTTCGCCGCCGCGGCCAGCAGCTGCGGGGCTGCCCATGGCTCTAAGAACCTGAGGACTTGCCTGGCGGCCTGCAGCACTTAAACCCGACAGACCTGCCTGGAGCTTGAAGCCCAGGACCTGGCTAGGCCTGCCTGAAGCATGCAGCGTACTATGAAAAAAAACTTCAGCTCAGGTCCTCTTCTCGCCAAGACAATTTTGCATGTCAAGCAGGGCTTGATCGATCTCGGCTTGAATTATACCCTGGCAGTAGCCTGCCCTGGATTAGCACTTGAATTAAGCCGCTTCTAACAAACGACCCCTTGAATCTTGGAAACTTGAGGCTTGTCCTGGAGCTCACCTCCCAGCCGCCTGGCACTGGTCAGATCCTCGGACCTGGCGCACGGGCGGCTCAATTTCAAAAAAATGTAGCGTCCACGTGCTCCATGATCCTCGCCCGCAACTCCTGGTCGCTCCAGGACTGGTGTACCTTAAGCCCCACCCGCACTGCTTCCGAAAGTAGTTGAGGCTTCGTCATTCCGCTCAAGGGGCCTGGGTTTGCTTGGAGAGCGATCAATGACGCATCGTTGAGCAACAAGCGGATGTACCCGTGCTCCTTCATCTTCATGTGCTTCGTCGCCTCCGGCCAGCGCTCGGGGTCGATGTCCATATCATTCTCGATCTTGTACATGAGGTACTCCAAAAAGTTCAGGAAGCCCACTTCCTTGTCGACATCCCTTAGCTCTATATAAGTAAAAAATTAAATACATAGTCTATATACGGCATATGTATAAGTATATATATGTATATATATATGTATATGTATATGTGTTCATGCCAAGAATCTCCAGCTGGTCTAGGTAACCTCTCCGCCACATCACGACCAAGGACCTCGCGACTTTGCCTGGAACCTTGGCGTGAAGCAGCTTGGCATAGGCCTGGACGACAATTTCATCATCGCCCTGCATCTTGACCTAGCCCAAAGTTCCTGGCAGCTTGGCTTGAAGACGGCTGCCATGCACGAGATTTGAAGCATGATTCCCCCCCTTCTTCCTTCTTAGGGCCGTCCGGCCCCTGGAAGCTTTGGTTGCAAGACGGCTGCCATGCACGAACCTGCCAAAAATGATTCCCCCGCCTTCTCCCTTCGTGGGGCCGTCCGGCCCACATCCCATCTCTTCTGTCTGTCTCCTCCGTCTTTCTGTATCTCTGTCTCTCTGTCTCTCTCTCTCTCTCTCTCTCTCTCTCTCTCTCTCTCTCTCTCTCTCTCTCTCTCTCTCTCTCTCTCTCTGTCTCTCTCTGTCTCTCTCTGTCTCTCTGTCTCTCTGTCTCTCTCGCTCTCTGTCTCTCTCTCTCTCTCTCTCTCTCTCTCTCTCTCTCTCTCTCTCTCTCTCTCTCTCTCTCTCTCTCTCTCTCTCTCTCTCTCTCTCTCTCTCTCTCTCTCTCTATTTGGTTAGCAAACTGGGGCCGCCCGGGCCGTCGTTTCAGCAAGCTGAAATCAATAGAAACATCCACCTCAAAATCAATAGAAAATCTCCATAAAATCAATAGAAATTTTCCATAAAATCAATAGAAATTTTCCATAAAATCAATAGAAATTTTCCATAAAATCAATAGAAATTTTCCATAAAATCAATAGAAAGACCACGATTAAAATCAATAGAAGTCAACACTCAAAATCAATAGAAACACGTACCAACAAAAGTTCCAAACGATTGAAATTTCCTCAAATTCAATAGAAGTTTCGTGTGCCTCCAAAATCAAGCGGCCGATTGAAAAAAATCAAGCGGGCGTCCTCTGGGTCGGATGGCTGGAGCTCTCAGGGTGCAGCCAAGCAGAAAGGTGGTGGACGGGCAAAGTGGAACAAGGACTACAAGTACGACGACTACGACGTCCAGTTCCCGAGCTACGAGATGATGAAGGGCAGCGGCAAGAACAAGGACAATTCTGCCAAGGGCAGCCGCGAGAAGCCAGAGGAGGACGAGGAGACGGAGACCCCCAGTGCGCTTGGCCTCTTGCGAGGAGTGCAGAAATATGCCAACCATATCCGTCGGGCGGAGACCAAGGTCAGAAAACTGGAAAACGACAGCAAGGAGGTCGAGATCAAGTGGAAGCAATTCCAGGAGAAGTTGAATAAGGCCTTCATGAAAGAGCGGTCCAAGTACCAGACTCGAGTGGCACAGTGTCGGCAGGAACTCGAGGAGCAAAAACTGGCGAAAATGGACGCCTTGGCCGGACTTCAGAGACTCTTGGCCAACCCGACACAACCGATGGAGGAAGACAAAGAAGACGCAGAGGATCCGGACGCCGTCGATGCATGGAACGAGCTCATGAAGGACGACGACGAGGGAGCGGATGGCCTCTCCACGGTGCTGTCCGAGATGGCGGCTGGAACTATGATCAGCGAGGAGGCCAGGCGCAAGGTCTTAAGTGCGATCGACCGGCACACCAGCCAAAGCAGTCAACCGCCGGCGACTCCGGAAAGACGCCCAACCAGACAAGCGGAAGTGACACCGCCAGCGGTCAAGCCGGGACTGCCGGAGCCTTATGTGACGGAGTTGAAGGCCAGCGACCCGTACATGACATCGCCGACTACGGGACGGACCAGACCTTCCCCCTCCATCCCGAAGACGAAGGGCAGGAATGGCAGAACCCCAGTGAAAGAGGTCGGAAAGTCCCCCGCGCCACCGCCACCGGGAGAAAAGCCGTTGTCGCAGAAGTTAGAGGCCAGACGATACATGGAGATGCTCAAGGCCAACGAGGAGGGGGTCCTCGACCTTTCCGACGACGACGAGGACACGGCCATCTCCGACCTGGCGAAGGACGCGGAGGGCCAGGTGACGAATATGGATTAGCAGCGACCATGAATGACTGGCCTTTCTTGGTGGCCAGAGATGCTTATGATGATCCGGGGCTTTTTCGGTTTGTCCCTGGCGATGCTCCCCGGCCTCTGGACGGAGGAGGGAGTAGAATCCATGGCGCTGCAATTTTGGATGGAGTGAGAACCCGGCACGGCCCTGAGGGAGGCCACGACCGTGGGCGAGAACCTGGTGAAGTTCAAGTCAAGGACATTCTGGACGTGTTGGAGTATGGCTTAGGGTGTTTGCTCTGGCAACCAGAACCCCTTGACATCATTGCGAACAAGCTGCAAGAACTCGTAATGACTTGGATGCTGTTCGTCTTTGGAGTCGAAAGTGCGGTCCTCCTGATGCACGTTATATGGCGACGACCACTCGCTGCTGACCGCTCAGGGAGACCCCGAGGCCCTATGTGGGTCAGGATCCTCCTCGCGGCGACAATTGTGGGAACAGCCACGGCAGGTGGTCAACCCCGAAGGCAAGCATCCTCATCCTGGACACCCTTGCCCTGCAGACAGCAACAAGATCAAGAAGACCTTCGAGCTGGACTGCGAACGGCCAGAGAACAACTGGCAGCGGCAGAAGCAAGATGGGCCATGGAGAGGCCACTCATGCACAACACGGGGGTGTACCAGCCCGAGGACTACTATGAGGAACCGCCACCCCCACCGCCACCACGACCGGTTCAGGGAGTCCAGGAGCATGAGATTGATGCCGAGGAAGAAAGAGCTGTCCATATCTCATTATGGGTATGCTCCCCACACTTCGCTCCGGAGTCGATCGATGTCGCTGTTGCGTTTCCCCTGGACATACAGCACATGTACGACATCGTTCTCGACTCTGTTGACGGTATGGGGCAGAACTGGCTCACACATACAATGGTTACCACTCCGCAAATCAGCGAGGACTATGTCAGTGTGATCCTGGCACCACCCTGGGTACTTATGAGTGGGCGATATATCGTCTTGATCGATGCGAGGGGTGTGGACCAGAATCTTGGTGCTGTTTACTGGGAGGGCCCCGTTACCAGACGACGAGTGCTCCGAGCCTTGGACGGCCGCCCGGCTGACGACTGGGAAGTCTATGCATTTGGGGCCCTGGTGCCGCTTGGACATGACGAGGCCGTTGACCCGATCCAAGCAGGGGTTCTCCAAGTTCGACATCGAGGAGAGCCAGCAGAATGGGCATCCGAAGCGGACTTACGATTGGTGGATCCGGCACGATGGAACCCGCGAGCCCCTCACCCTGAGGTGCAAAGGGGTCGCTTCATTGAGTTCCAGGCCGAGGAGGACAGATTCCTGCACGCAGTGGACCGCAATGCAGCTCGGACGCCCATACAGATTGCATGCAACGAGCTGCAGCGAGACAGCACTACAACATGGTTGAGGGCCCCAACCGATCGCCCTCGACACTTGTGCCACTTTGGACAATGTGTACACACCATCGTGGCCGTGGTCTCGGAGATCAGGCATCCGACAGCACGATACAATGCTGTGATCATGGACCTGCGAGGAGTCGGACTTTGGCCTCAATGGGTGGCCATTGAGGGCAACATGATGAACCCGGGCGAGTACGTGGACGGACTGCACATCCCCTACCCTGAAGGATATTCTGTTGTCGTCTTGGGAGGCCGCAAGGCAGACGATGGGATTCACCTCCATGTCAGAGACGGGGAGCTACTGGAGGTTGTGCTAAGAAGCACTGAGGCAATCACGCCCACTGAATGCAGGAAGAGGACTCCGATAGCTCGGATGACCCTATGGATGATGAGGAAGACAACAGCGATGGAGAGGATGCTCTCCCGAATTCCTCCGATCTGTCTCCGGGTTCACCACCAAGGGGACCGGGACCATTTGGACCACCGCCCCCAGTCCCGGTCCACTACGACCGTAGCCGAAGCCCGAGAAGACGCGAGCATTGCGGCTTGGCTCAGAACAAGATCCTCGAGCTGTACGAGCACCTGCCCCCGGCCACCCACAACATAGCCGAGGAACTCATTGAGCTCCCGCATAGGCCTGATGATATCGCCACTACCTTCAGAGTGTGGCCCAGTGATTGGTTGGGCTTCGACACAGGATCCTTGGACCTCAAGGAAGTCACCAAGACGGCACTACATGGACTACCTCATTGGAGCCAGCTGTTGCAGGCGCGAGGCAATGGGGACAAGCTGACGGCGCATCTCTACGTGGACGGTTCGCACTACGAGAAGCCCGGAAAGCGGGCTTTGGTGTTGCCATAGTCCTACAATGTGCTGGAGCCTTGGCACTACTTGGTGCCTTTGGAGGCCCTCTCCTCTGTGAAGGGAATGATGTATGGGACTTCGAGGCCCCGATGGCCCTGAAGGCGGAACAAGTCGCCATAGCCACAGCCCTTCTGTGGCTAGGGCAAAGCAGAGCATTTATCCCGATCGACGAGGCCTACGTGAAGTATGACTGCCAAGCAGCAGGAAAAGGGGCAGAGGGCACGTGGCACGCACCCAACGCCTTTGGTACAAGGCTCAGGTACCTGGAGCAGTACGTCCGGGGCATGATGCAGAACAAGATGAACTTCGAGTACACGAGAGCGCATGTTGGGGAAGCGTGGAACGAATTGGCGGATTGCCTCGCCAAAGCAGGCGCGCAACAAGTGTTAGATTTGCCCACAGTGCCGGAAGAAAACATGCGGGCCTTCATGCGCCTGGATATGAGCTGGATGGTCGCTACAGCGAAAAGTTTCGGTACACAAGATGTCCCAATGAAGGCTGGACGGTGGTTGGTCATCCCCGAACACAAATGGACCAGCACGAGCCCATTGGTGCCGACAGATCTTGTCCCAATACGCCAGGCTAAAGGCTACCACAGCCAAAAGAATGAGGCTTTTGCCCTGAAATGTGCCTCGGTCAATGTGCAAGGTCTGCAGCATAAGCACTGCTACCTCGACGCCCAGTGGGAGAGCAACGCCCTCAACATCATCTTTATCCAGGAGACCAAGGATGCGGAGGGCTACGTCGAGAGCAAAAACTACATCAGATTTGCTTCCCGTTCCGAGAAGCACTGGGGCACGGCGATTTGGATCAACAAAACCAGGGGCCTCATGTCAGTGAATGACCTGCCCGTCAAAATCGCCCCCTGTGATGTATGCATCAAACACAGCGACCCCAGGCTGCTGATGATCGAGATCAATAAGGGCGGACACAAAGTCCTCCTCTTTTCAGGACATGTCCCGCACGCGGAAAAACAATCAGAGAGGCAGACCTATTTGGCAAACCTGCAACAGCTTTTGCGAAATGGAGGACACCAAATGCTGATCCTGGGAGGAATGGACGCCAACAGCCGCCCCCCTGCGAACTATGAGGAAGTAACCGGGTCATTGGCTTTTGGAGAGCCGGATCCCGCCGGTGTCCAATTTGCGGAGATGCTTCAGGAATGCCGACTCTGGCTGCCCAGCACCTACTCAGGAATACACCGGGGTGGCAGCGCCACGTTCCAGCATGCTGGTGGCAACCAGCACCGAATCGAATTATTGGCGATTGGTGGTCGCGGAGCGGTGCAGCATGCGAGCAGCAGGGTGGCCAAGGAAATGGACCTAGGAGCTGCCCGTGATGACCACTGGCTAGTGGAGCTGGAGATGCGTGGTACAGGAGCCCCTGTGAGGACTACTACCGGTCTATCCCGACCGAAGTATGATAGACAACGGATGCTGACGGCCGAGGGACAAAGTCTACTGCATCAAATGTGGCTGGCCTATACCCCGCCCCCATGGTGGGAGCACGTGGATGTGCATTGCAAGCATCTGCAGGACTACATCGGGGAATGCCTGAACACCCACTTTGCAGTTGAGTCCAATGGACCAAGGGCTACGTACATTGATGCTGAAATTTGGCAATGGCGAAACGCCAAACTACGTTTCAAGGAGAAGGTACAGCATAGAAAGTACATGTGGGGACGAGCCCTGGCAGCCAGTTTCTATCAGTGGAGCCGCTCTGGTGTGGACATTGTGGCCCCGCTGGTGAAGAAGGAAGGATTGCTATACCAGTTGGCGGCCAGTGCAATCACATTTGTCACGAGCAGAATCAAGAAGCGTATCTACCTGAACAAGGCGGCCTACCTCGAGCAGGTGATAAAGGAAGGTCCACAGACGGCCACACAACTCCTGCAGAGGGTTCGGAAGTTCGGTGTCGGGGGCAAACAAAGCCGACAAAATCGAGGCAGAAAGCCCCTGCCGAAGCTCGTCGACCCAGCCGGACGTCCTGCTGAGACCCAGGATGATCATGATACGATCGGGCTCAACCACTTTGGGCAACAGGAAAGTGGTGAAATTCTTGCGATTGACCAATTCCTGGCTGAAAAGGAGCAAGTGCCCTGGCGCCAGGACTGTCCCAACTGGAACCTCAACGGCATCCCTACCCTGCAAGAAATAGAGGACCCTAGGGGCAAGGCCATGGGGTTGGACTCAGTGCCTGGGGAGGCGGTTTTAGCTTCCCCGGTGGCGGCGGCTGTTGTGATACATCCCCTCATGGTCAAAGCAGCGACAGCCCTTCGCCAACCACTTCAGTGGCGAGGAGGGATCCTTTACGAAGCCTACAAAGGTGTTGGATCCGCAGACCTCCCGGAGAATCACCGGGCCTTGTTCATATCAAGCATATTGGGCAAGGCCTACCACAGATGGCTCCGCAACGAAACTGAAGAACAGTTGAACAACGAGTTGCATACGATGCACCTCGGCAGCCGAAAACACGCCCCGCTCACCTACGCATCGCTCTACATCCTCGGCCATATGCGCGCATGCAAGGCCCACTCGATGGCGGCTGGAGTAATTTTCCTGGACACAAAGTCGGCATATTACTCCATCATCAGAGAAGCGGTGATGGGCGACATTCGGCAAGATGAAACGGTGGCAAGGCTGATGAAGCGATTCAACTTGGATGCGGAGGACATGGCGGAACTATGGAGTACGATCCGTGGAGGAGGGATCCTCAATGAGGCAGGTACTTCGCCTGCCCTCCAAGCGATGGTGCGCGATATCCACTACCGCACTTGGTGTATCACGAAGTACACCACAGGTGCCCGCATCGCGTCGACATATGCGGGCAGCCGACCGGGAGAATCTTTCGCCGATGCAGTCTTCGCTTTTATCTACAGCCGCATCCTGGGCAAGGTCATCGAAGTGGCAACAGGCGAAGAACTACTAAGCGAGCTCCAGTACGACCTGGACACTGGTGCTTTCGCCACTGACGACCACATCAGGCATGGACCTGCCGTCGTTGCCCGCGACGCCACGTGGGCAGACGACACGGCGATTCCATTCGCAGACGAGCAGCCGCTCAGGCTACTCAGAAAGGCCCAAAGGCTGGCCTCACTGACCATATCGGTCTGCCAGTCGTCAGGGCTTCAGCCGAACCTGAAAAAGGGCAAGACAACGGCGATCCTTGCCCTGCGCGGCCCGGGAAGCACCAAGGCACGGAAGGAATTCTTCGGACATGGCCGATCTACGATCAAACTCGAGGATGTGGGCTTGGAGCTTCCAGTCGCGCCACAATATGTTCACCTCGGGGGGGTCGTCGATGTTGGCTGCACCATGAAAGCTGAAATGCGCCGGAGATTGGCCATGGCAGGGACGGCCTTCGACTCCGGCAAAAAGCTCTTGTTCGGCAACGGAAGTATACAACTCCCAGTCCGAGCACAGCTCTTTCGTATGACCATCCTGGCCACCTTCTACAACTTAGCCATATGGGCGCCCCAAGGGAGCGCATGGCTACAGCTGGCTGGTGGATTCACCAAGATCTTGCGGCGACTCTTGGTGCCACAGGTTGGTGGCAAAGAAAGTTGCAAGATCCCTGCTGCTTTTGTCCACCTGGCCACTGGATGTTGGACCTTGGAACTCGAGGCGACAAAGAGTCGCATGAGCCTTTTGGCGGCCCTGGCCAACAACGGTCCGGAGGCGCTGTGGGCTGTGATTCAACAGGATCGGGAATGGATGAAGGCGGTCCAGAACGACCTCGAGCAGTTCTCGGCGTACTACAAGGACGCCCCGGAGCCCAATGCGGCGGCTTGGCCTTTGTGGAAGGCGTACCTGGTGGGCAACGGACGCGCTTTCAAGTACCGGGTCAAGCAGTGGCTCCAACGGCGACACCAGGCAATGTGCCAGGAGGAAGTGGTCACGGTTGGCCTCTGGGGGATGTACCGGCAAGCCTGTGAGGCCCTTCCCTCTATGCATGCACGGGAGCCATGGTGGAGCTGCAGACAATGCCAACGACAGTTCAAAAGCAAGGGTGGACTTGGAGCTCATATGTTCAAGGTACACCGCCGAACTGCAGCATACAGGAGATGCCTACAGGGCACCCTGTGCCTGGCATGCGGCAAGCAATTTTGGACTACCGAAAGATTGTCGACACACCTCCGAGACAAGGGTGACTGTGTCAGAACCATGCTCAGCCTGGGATTGCGGGCCAAGGACATCCGGCCCGGCAAAGGAAGCAAGGTTGGGCGGCAGCAGTACGTCGAGGAGTACAACCTGGCCCCTACGATCGAAATCAGTGAGCCCCTTGCGGCTGGAGATGGGGACACGTGGGCAGAGGCCTCGGCGGATGCCTACCGAGCCCTGTGTGATGAGCTCCAGCAGAGGCCCATTTGGGGGTCAGAGAACGAGGTGACCGAGACCATTGTCCAGTGCCTCGGCAAATTCCCGCTCTACTTCAATGAAGAGGTCGAGGTTGTCACAAAAGTGGCGGAGGATGTCGAGCTACTGTGGAATACGGACACCACCGACCCATGGCCGGAGGCTTCTTTCGTGAATCTACGAGGAGCCCTGACGAGCAGGACACGTTGGCTACGCCCCTTTGCAGCGAGCAATCCAGAGGCGGACAACGTGGACAGATCCTTTGCAGCCTTTAAAGCCGAAGTCAAAGAGGAACAGTGGAGAGGGCTTGTACATGCCCTGACGAATCAGTGCGGGACCCCGGCGGGCGAGCCCTACCACCTGGACACGACTTGGGAAGCATTAGAAGCCGTGTACAGTGGCGACTCCGCTGCTAATGCCGCGCTTACAAATCCGCTGTGTTTCATTCCCAGAGGAATCGTCCAGCTGTGGGAATCCATACGTACAGGAAAGGTTGGTTCCATCACAGCTCCCGACGGCTTCTGGAAGAGCCAGTTTGGACCAGTATTTGCTGGTCTCAGGGCTGTTGTGCAAATCTAATTAGAGCAGCGTACACCTCTGAATGCCTCGAAATGAAAATAGATACATACATGCATACATATA